GGAATGGTATATAAAATTGGTTTATTTGATCAAGATTATATGTATATGTATATATATATGTATATGTATATGTATATGTATATGTACATGTACCCTGTTTCCCTGAAAATAAGAAATCCCCTGATAATAAGCCCAATTGGGCTTTTGAGCACATGTGCTAAAATAAGCCTCCCCCCCCCGAAAATTAGCCCTGCCCGAAAATAAACCCTGCCCGAAAATATTTAAATGCATGTGTAGCCGGTCCCCACCATTTCCTCTGGTTAGGGTTAGGGAGACAGAGCTGGAAATCAGGTAAGACGGCAAGAGGATCCCCGTCTTGCTCTACACACCCCAAAATAATAAGACCTCCCCGAAAATAAGACCAAGCGCTTATTTTGGGGTTCAAAAAAATATAAGACAGGGTCTTATTTTCTGGGAAACACGGTACATGTACATGTACATCTACATACATACATACATACATACAAATATATAATGAGGGGGGAGGAGTCATTTCCTTACAATTTTCTTTGCCAAAAATGACAAAGGATTTTCAAGAACATTCGATGATCAATGAACTTCAGTTCAATTAATGTTTCCTAAAGAATAATATCAAAATTGAAAAAAAAAAAACCTTTCTAACCACTATATTATAAAGACTTCTCTTTCTATTGATTCATGCTCTATAGCAGAAATAATTCATTCTTTCAAGTTGCCTCCACGTGAAGGCCATGTTATTATAAAATACAATAGTCTGCTGTAATATACTGATGCTGTATGGTTAAGGACATATGCAGGAAAACCCAATAATGAACATATAAAGGAAATCTATATTCACACATAATTTCTTACAACAGTGTATGTATATGAAATGGAATAAATCAATTTATCTAGTGTATACCACATAAAGACTATACCATGTCTAGGATGGTTGAAGATTGAGTGTCCAGGCCAATTTGGAGAATTATTCAGTTGATTTGTTTATAGCCAAACATCATTGCAAAATTAAGAAAATTAAACTTAAGAAAATGTTAAAAATTAAGAAAAAAAATTACTAAATAAAAAACAGCAAATCACATTAGAATCTTAGCATTCACAAAATGTAAACTTCAGCCAAGATTATATCTGGAAGCATATTTTAAGATATTTAGGACTTTAAAGTTCTACGAATACTGATCATGCTCTCAATAGCAATACTGTATTATATCAAATGGCCTTAATTGATATTTCTCAATCTTGGCAATTTTAAAATATGCGGATTTGAAGATTTCCCAGCCTGCATGCTGACTGGGGAATTCTGGAGTTTTAAGTCCACAAATCTTAAAGTTCTTAAGGATTTGAAACACTGGTCAATGTCATGGGCACATGTTATCATTCAGGCCCATTTATTTTTAATTAAGTTACTTTCTTAGCAATAGCAATAGCACTTAGACTTCTATTCTGTTTCACAGTGATTTACAGCCCTCTTTAAGTGGTTTACAGTATCAGCATATTGCTTCCAACAATCTGGGTCCTCATTTTACTGACCTCGGAAGGATTGAGTCAACCTTGAGCCTGGTGAGATTTGAACTGCCAAATTGCAGTCAGCTGGCAGTCAGCAGAAGTAACTTGCAGTACTGCGTTTTAATCACTATGCCACCATGGCTCATTAGGTTGAACCTTCAATTTCCACTGCAGCTTACTGCTTATCATGTTTTTAGAGTTTGAAACGGGGCAGAAACATTTTTTTAAGTCACCATTTTTCTTTTACTGAGCTACCCACTTTACTGCTTTTTTTTTAACCAGTTTGCCAGTGGACCGTTTCACCATTCTTGCTGTCACTTGAGGTAGGAGGGTTTCACCCCAGCTCCTGAACCAAATGGATTTACCTAGGGCTGGACAACTAAGTAAGTAAGTAAATAAATAAGGGCCAGCATTTCAATGGTCCACTGGTGGACAAGTTTTTTTGGGTTTTTTGCTGAGTGGAAATGCTCAATGGAAAAGAAAAATAAGAATTAAAAAAGGTTGTTTCTACTTGGTTTTGAACTGGTAACCCTTGTCTTGTGAGGGAAACATGATGATTGGAATCTTACTATTATAGGAATACCTGCAGTAGAGATTAGATTTATTTTAAATCTACTCCTTTGTGTGCATTTTGATGCTTTAATTCTGTTAACATCTTTTAAAAATAGTAGTAAGCAGAAACCAAGGATTATTTTGATCCTGTGGAATCACTGGCATGAATAAGAAGCTGTAGTCCCATCATAGTCCAATTCTTGACTTACCACCATTCGTGTAGTCATCACTCGAAGTTACAACGGCAATGAAAAAAGTGACTTATGAACATTTTTCATACTTACGATTGTGGCAACATCCCTAAGGTCACATGATCAAACTTTGGGTCCTTGGGAACTGGCATGAATATATGACAGTTGTGCTGTCCCGGATTCAGGTGATCACCATTTGTAACCTTCCGAGCTGGCTTTCGGCAAGCAAAATTAGAAGCCAGATTCGCTGTAGTCTGTTCTCAGACTGTGGATCAAAAATCGAGAGCGTGCCGGTAGCATTTAGGGGAAAGTTGCAAGATTTGTTTTATTTATTTATTTATTTATTTATTTTATTGAATTTATATACCGCCCTACTCCCGAAGGACTCAGGGCGGTGAACAGCCATAGAATAAAACATATAAATACAAAATTTAAAATAAAATAAAATGAATTAAATAATTTGGCTGAACAAATTTAAAACCCCAATAATTTAAAACCAAATTTAAAATTTCCATTTAAAAAGGGGAAAGACTTAGGTCAGGCCAGCTTGATGAAATAAGAAAGTCTTGAGCGCGCAACGGAAGGTACGCAGATCCGGGATCCTCCGTATCTCCGGGGGGAGCTCGTTCCAGATAGTAGGTGCCCCCACAGAGAAGGCTCTCCCCCTGGGGGCCGCCAGTTGACATTGTTTGGCCGACGGCACCCGGAGGAGCCCCTCTCTATGGGAGCATACTGGTCAGTGGGAGGCTATTGGTGGTAGCAGGCGGTCCCGTAAATAACCAGGTCCTAAGCCATGGAGTGCTCTAAAGGTGATAACCAAAACCTTGAACCTTGAAGCGCATTCGGAAGACCATTGGGAGCCAGTGCAGCTCGTGCAGGAGAGGTGTTACATGGGAGCGCCACGTCGCTCCCGTCACCACCCGCGTGGCTGCACTCTGCGCCAGTTGGAGCCTCCGAGTGCTCCTCAAGAGGAGCCCCATGTAGAGAGCGTTACAATAGTAACATTTTAAATCTGATCTGCCTTCCAAACAAAGGGTGAGTGCTGTTTTTTGCTCTGTCTTTTACAGACAAAATGGGAGTGAGTTTTGACAGATGTTTTGCTTTGTCTGGACAAAATATGCAACATCAAGCTTTGCTTCTCTTTTTACTGTGCAAGCGCTCGGCGGGCAGTTTTTGTGCTGTAAAGTTTGAAAATCCCTATGACATGTAGATTAAAATGAAATACTTAAACCTAAGTGGTATAATTATTTCTTGCACAGCCATAACACAATGAAATTAAATTCATTTATTAAATGAATTTATTTTAAATAAATTCATTTATTTTTTAAACTGGGAGATAACATAGGGATACCATTGAATCAGGTTTAAATTTTAAATATTTTGAGAGCTGGGGAGTACTATGATTAGCTATGCTGAAGTAGAAATAACTAACTAACTCCAATTTCAGGTGCATATTTATCTTTCAAGGTCCTTATAAGTTTTAAGAAAAATTGAGTCCTGAGTACTTATATTCTCTATTAATTCTTTTTTTTTAATGCCTAAGAAACTGTGACATGTTTTGAAAAATAAACATTATTTTTAGGTTTATGAAATTTATCATCAGAGTTTTTACCACGGTCAGTGTATTAAGTATATGAGAAAATGGTCTCTATCCTACCTCAGACTTTAAAGAAAGTGCTTCCTACCATCAGCAGTGATGAATCCCTATTACTGAAAAAATAGAAATGAAGCTTACTTTTATAACCTATTTGCCATTATTTCATTTCATAATGTTGATCACAATGTTTGAAATCCTATTTGGATAGTCAAGTTTCAGAAGAAACTTAGGTTTTAAATTCCGTCCAAATTTTTTTCCTAATTTATCCCCAAACTATTCTTCGAAATAGAATGAAAATTTATATTATGTTATATTACGTTATTCATATTATATTATATTATATTATATTATATTATATTATATTATATTATTATTATATTACATCATATTATATTATTACTCTAGAACATATGATTTAATGTGCTGCTGGAATGAACTTACTGAAATATGCCATAGACCTGAATTTTCATTAGTAGTAATTCATATATTTACCTGTGCACATTTAGTGCTAGATGGCCACAGTTGGAATTATACAAAAGCTTCCAAATCATTGATTTTTTAACAGCTCTAGAAAAGAAAACCATAAGTGAGCTAGCTTACAGGCAAAGCCTGAGAAATTTTGAAGATTTTGAGCTTCTGACTAAGAGAAGGATTAAATAGAATTATTACTAATGTTTTCTTCATCCCATGCCTCAGACCATGTGTCTATAAATTATATTGACAATGGAGTCTCTGTGTATTTGGGGGAGGAGGTGTTTCACCAATTAATCAGGCTGTGGAAGAGTGATAGAGAGAACATGTTGGAATTCTATCTAACTTTTAAGTTCAGGTAATTAGCTCATCAAGATACACAACAACTTTATTTTGAGTCAAAAAGTTCCTCTAGTTTAAGAACTTCCTAGTTCCCTTGAATTTATATATATAGCTTTTGGAGCCTTTGGACTCTTCCTTTTATGGGCTAAGACTCAGATTGATTTTTTCTTCTTCCGGAGCTAGTCAAAAGCATACTGCAGAATTAAAGTTCTTTTTATCAACAGCCAAAATAATTACTTTTAAAAGTAATTTAAAAAATGGTTTAGTTCAGTATAACATTTTGAATTATTCAATTGCTTTTGAGTTATAACAGACATCCTGTTATAATGTATTAAATATTATATTATTGTCTTATTTCTTTACAGGAGTCAGAAAATAATAAGTTATGTTCCTTATATTCCTTCCGAAATACTTCTACCTCACCACATAAGCCCGAAGAAAGTGGTCGTGATCGCAATGAGCTAATGACCAGTGTTAATTTTGGAACTCCAGAACGCCGCAAAGGAAGTCTTGCCGATGTGGTGGACACCTTGAAACAAAAGAAACTAGAGGAGATGACGAGAACTGAACAGGAGGGTATGTATGTTTATGTGTATAAATATGCATGTACCTGTGTGTGTGTGTCTGCATGTTTAATTTCTGTCCTGCAGTCAAATGATGAATTGCTTAACGCATTGTAAGCCGCCCTGAGTCTCTGGAGAAGGGCGGCATATAAATCAAATTATAAAATAAATAAATAAATACATGTTAAGGTGAATCTATATTTGATGTCTATTTATAGAACTACTACTGATTTTTGTGTATTATGTTTGTCTGAATATATCCATACTGACCGGACCTATGTAAGATTACCCACCCACCCACCCACCCCCCCACCTCTCTCTCTCTCTCTCTCTCTCTCTCTCTCTCTCTCTCTGTGTGTGTGTGTGTGTGTGTGTGTACATATATTTTTACTGAGAAATTCATTAGACAATTTCTGATTGAGACTTGTGTATAAGAGACTAAATGGCATGTTGATTGTCAGATATAATCTTATTTAATGGTACAGGACTTCACCTGGTATATTTTGCTTCATTCTACAATCTGTGCTTAATATTTGAAGAGGTCTGGGCCAAAGCTGATTGGATTTGGGATTGAAGGCAAGCAAAGAACAGATATTGTCTATCAGAGTTTCTCATTATCCAGTTTGAGGGGTAGGTTTCTCATATACCAATGAGAACTGATTGTAAAATGGCACCATGAGCGTAATGATAAGCTTCCAAAAATTCAAAATGCCCTTAAATGAGGTGAAGGTTGTGGAGCTTTTGATAGGTATGGATAAACAATCACCAGAGTATGATTTAATTAATAATCTATATTGCAGTTTCTATGTTGTTGTATTTTTGGGTAGTCTATGGTTCAATTGTGAAACTTTGGATGATGATGAAGAAAAAAACCCCTATGTTTTCCCCCTATATTGGCTAACTTATTCCCCCTGGGACATATGTTTATAGTATCTTAAAAACATTGCTACAAATGACCCTGGGTAGAACTTCAGCCTTGGGCTATTTCAGAAGTGTTGGATTACAGATTCAGGTAAACCACAGCCATCAGAGATGATTATGATGGAGTGGGATCCTGCACAACTGGAAGCCATTAGGGGGAGACTTTTCTGATGTCTTTGGATCCAGTTCTGATCACAAGCTGAGGCCCATCAATTTTAATGGCAAGGTTTGAAATGATTCAGTATGTTTACATTCTGCAGTTGAAAAAAATGAAGCAGCAACTTTATAAGTAAGGGTAGATTGAACTATACATGGGAATAGATCTAAGACAGATTCTACATCTCTTTTTTTGGCTTAGTTTATATGACAAGCACATAGTTAAATATGTTCTGTATAGGTGTCTTAAACTTCACAACAGTGATAATGTCTCAGATTTTACACAGCCATCTGTCTTTAAATTTAATTTTGAAGTTCATGTTTAAGCTTTTTTTCCCCCCAGCTAAGTTGCTGGCTTCATTTTGATGGCTAGACGATAGAAAATGTTTTAAATTTATTTTTATATTTGGACTCAGCTTTTTTAAAGAACAGAACAAAATAGAATATTCTTTATTGGCCAAGTGTGATTGGACACACAAGGAATTTGTCTCTGGTTTATAAATTCTCAGTATACACAGTGATAAATCATAAATCATAAGGTACAAATAAATCATATGACACAACCAACAAAATGATAGTCATAAGATACCAACAGGAGAAGGTAATAGGAAAGTTGAGAGGGATAATAGTAATACAGTCCTGCTACATGATTAGATATCTTTAGGCATAAAACAGTGCTGTGGGAATTATATGTTTAGCAGAGTGATGACATGAAGGAAAAAACTATCTTTGTGTCTAGTTGTTTGGGCATGGAATGCTTTAGAGTGGCATCCTGAGGGCAGAAGAAACTTCTTAAATTTCAAATTAAATATCACATTGCTAAGATTTGTTTCATTTTTGCAGTTAATGCACGGATTTGCAAGATTCGGGTTTCAAATTTAAAAAAATATTTCATCTACCTCTCCCCTCCCTTAATATGTATTAATAACTTCCATGTTCCATTGCGGTTATGACTGGGAGAGGTAGATATGGCAGGAGCCAAGGGTAGGCTGCTCTCGGGGAACTAGGATTCGCTCCTTCAAAGTGATTACTTGTTCCGGCCCCTTTGGTTTTGGTTCACCAGGCACACCTCGTATACCTGGTGACTTGGGATGTCAGGGCCCTGGCCTCAGGCTGCTGCTGTTTAATGCCAGGTCTGTTGTTAACAAGGCTCCCTTCATTCGGGACTTAATCCTGGAGGAGGGGGCTGACCTGGCATTTATAACTGAGATGTGGCTGGGCCAGGAGGGGGGGTGCCCCTCTCAGAGATGTGCCCAGATGGGTTTCAGATATCGCATCAGCCACGACTCCAGGGAAGGGGTGGAGGAGTGGCAGCTATTGTCCGGAAGAGTTTTTGTCCTCGCAGGATCCCTGCCGCGGAGATTGTTCGGTGTGTGTCTCTCCTCTTGAGGTTGGACTCATGGGTTCATTTGGACTTGTTGCTGATGTACCTGCCTCCCAGCTGTGTGACAACAGCCTTGCCTGTGCTGCTAGAGGCAACAGCCGGGTTGGCGGTAGAATTCCCCAGGCTTATGGTACTGGGGGACTTCAACCTGCTGTCACTTGGCGAATCCTCAGATGTGGCTCAGGAGTTCATGGCTTCCATGACAACCATGGACCTGACCCAAGTAGTTCAGGGTCCGACCCATGAGGGGGGACACACGCTCGACCTGGTGTTTCTCTCGGGCAGTGGAGACAGGATCTGGAATTAAGGGGTATAGAGGTTTTTCCCTTGTCGTGGTCAGATCATTTCCTGTTGAGGTTGGATTTAAAGATGCCACTCCTCCATTGCAGGGAGACGGAGCCGATTAAGTGGTTCCGCCCCAGATGCCCAGTGACCCTGAGGGGTTTCAGAAGGAGCTTGGGGAGATACCTGACTCCCTTGTCCACAGTCTGGCCAAGACCATAGTGGCTGCCTGGAATAGGGCAGCATCCGGGGCATTGGACCGGATTGTACCTTTGCGGCCTCTCAATGGCAGTGAATCCAGGAAAGCTCCCTGGTTTACCGAGGAGCTCCGGGAGATGAAGCACCAGAAGAGACATCTAGAGCGACGCTGGAGGACCAGTAAATCCGAATCTGACCGAATACTCTTGAGAACCTTTATTAGGACTTATTTAGTGACGATAGGGGTGACAAAGTGCTCACATTTTTCCGCACTTATTGCATCCGCTGATTCTCGCCCAGCTGCCCTATTTAGGATGACTCGCTCCCTCCTTAATGCAGGGGGAGCAAAGGAGAAGGTAGAGCTGAGGAGTTTGTGCAGTTTCTGTCGGATAAAGTCGCTCAGATACTGATGGACCTGGACTGTGATTGGGCAATGCCGACCGAGATGATGGGGGCGAGTTGGGAGGAGTTTGAGCTGGTGACTCCTGAGGAAGTGGACAAGGCTGTAGGTGCGATGAGTTCCTCCACTTGTTTGTTGGACCGTGCCCCTCCTGGCTGGTTTCGGCCAGCAGGAAGGTGACACGAGGCTGGCTCCAGGCTTTAGTTAACGCGTCCTTGAGGGAGGGGTCCTTCCCGCAACCATTAAAGGAAGTGGTTGTAAGGCCCCTCCTCAAGAAGACTTCCCTGGACCTAGCAGAATTAAAGAACTTTCAGCCAGTCTCCAACCTACCTTTTGTGGGAAAGGTTGTAGAGAAAGTGGTGGCACTTCCGCTCCTGTGGTCATTGGATGAAATGGATTATCTGGACCCTTTTCAGTCTGGCTTCAGGCCTGGCTACAGCACGGAAACTGCCTTGGTCACACTGATGGATGATTTCTGGCGAGCCCGAGATGGGGGTCATTCCTCTATCTTGGTGCTACTTGACCTCTCAGCAGCTTTCGATACCATTGACCATGGTATCCTTCTGGGACGACTAAGGGAGTTGGGAGTGGGAGGCACCGTGTTGCGGTGGTTCTCCTCCTATCTCTCTGGTTGGTCACAGTCAGTGTTGGTAGGAGGACAGAGGTTGACCCCTAGGCCCCTCGTTTGCGGGGTGCCTCAGGGCTCGGTCCTCTCTCCCTTCCTATTTAACATCTACATGAAACTACTGGGTGAAATAATCTGACAATATGGGGTGGGATATCAGCAATATGCTAATGATACCCAGCTATATATCTCCACCCTCCGTCAGTTCAGTGAGGCAGTGGATGTGATGTGCCGGTGCCTGGAGGCTGTGAGGGCCTGGATGGGAGTCAACAGGCTCAGACTTAACCCAGACAAGACTGAATGGCTATGGGTACTGTCTTCTTATGTCGATTGTCCATCCTTGGTCCTGTGGGCGGGGGAGAAATTGTCCCCCTCAGAACGGGCTCGCAATCTGGGTGTCCTCCTAGACTCACAGCTAAGATTGGAACAACATCTGACAGCTGTGGCTAGGGGGACCTTTGCACAGATTCACCTGGTGCACCAATTGCGACCCTACTTGGATCAGGAGGCTCTCCTCACAGTCACTCATGCCCTTGTCACTTCATGGTTGGATTATTGCAACGCGCTCTACATGGGGCTACCTTTGAAAAGTGTTCGGAGACTACAGTTCGTCCAGAATGCAGCAGCGTGAGTTATTGTGGGTGCACCTAGATACACCCACATTACACCAATTCTCCGTGAGCTGCACTGGCTCCCTATCAGTCTCCAGACGCAATTCAAGGTGTTGGTTATTACCTTTAAAGCCCTACATGGCTCAGGGCCAGGTTATCTTCGAGACCGCCTTCTACCGCATAGCTCCCAGCGACCGGTAAAATCCCACAGAGCTGGTCTCCTCTGGGTCCCGTCAGCTAAACAATGTTGGTTGGCGGGCCCATGGGGGAGGGCCTTCTCTGTGGCTGCCCCGGCTCTCTGGAACCAATTACCTCCTGAGGTCCGGACCGCCCCCACCCTATTGGCCTTCCAGAAAGTGGTGAAGACCTGGCTTTTCTGGCAGGCCTGGGGCCGTTGATCTTGCTACGGCGATCTTGTGAGACCTGGCCATGGAAT